TTTTCACATGTGACCTCCCAGACATCTGACCTCCTTCGGGTTTCCGTGTAACAACTTGTAGCAATGCTGCACCCACCCCTAAGGAGCTAAATTGCTGCAGCAAAGATCATTTTTAACTAATTAAAAACAGGTTCATTACGAGAATGAACCGAGGGATACCTACAAGCATTGGTGCTTCTGAGATCATTATTTGTCATGAGTTTATTCTTTGTAGGTTACTGCAGAAATATTTTTTTTAAACACTATTCCATAGATAATCCCTTCAATATATGCTGTTGCTACGGTTCAGGGGCACAACAGACCAATAACTCTGGATGTGTAAAGTAGAGGGGATTCGAGAGGAAACAAGGATTTTGCATCTGAAAGTGAAGGAACCAGATTTATTTATGCCCCAATCTTTGTAGTCTCCTCTGATGCACATCTTACAGTGATCATGTTATGACAAACACAAGTGTAGATTTTGGTACATGTCATGATCTTAAATAATCCTGACTGGCTGCATGAGTTGGGGAGTTTAGGAGCCCTTCAAACTGTTTAACAATAGGGATGTCAAAAGGCACTGTTTTGATGGCATCTCTTTTCTACTATGTTTGTAGACATACAGGTGAAATTAGAATTTGTCAGAACTGTATGTCTAACTGACCCCACAGCTCGGGAGCCAGATGTGTTTACACAAACTCAAGGCCATCTTTTGTTCCAGCCCAGCACGGGGTGAGGGGGGAGAAATGTTGATAATTTGCAGAGTTTTATACTTTTGCTTCAGAGCAGACCACTATTTAAAACAATAGATAATATTTGCAAAATGCTTGCAATAGAACCCCCGGTTTAAAATTTGTCCTGGAGAAGTATTGCTATGCAGCAGCAAGCTCTCAACAGGAGACTTTTGTGCATCCTTTCACACCTTCAGAAAATTTAACTACCTTTACAGAGTCAGCTACCTAATTCATGAAAGGAGTGATATATAACACTCCTTTGACTTGCACGAAGTCATGCTAATTTAAAGAACACAGTTCTGTTTTTTCCGAAGAGTTCTCAGTTGTGTTCAAAAACTCAAAGCACGCTTCAGTAATAGGTATCTGTACTCTCCTTGGTGTGAAGTTGATGTAAAACTGCCACCTATAGAGAATGTCAGCACAACTAATACAGCCACCAACGAGAGGGTGACCTACAGGGCACAAAATAGAACAATGTGCCCTAAAAGGGGTAAGATTCACGGCACTATGTTCATGTTGCACCGAAGTAAGATGAATAAAAGTGAAAATGGCTATAAACTCTGTATGGTAAGGATTGATATTAGCACCAAATGCATTTAATGTCCAGGTCACTAATGACCTGGAAGGTGTAAAAAAATAATGAAATTTTCAGAGGAAACTAAAGATTATTTCTGCAAACATCTGCTTGTGCAGATTTTCAAGGGGAGCAATTATTGTCTTCAGCGGGATTACTCCCATCCACACAATTACACCTAATTTAGTTCTGACAAGATCAGGGACAATGCTGGAAAGATCTCAGATTGCTATGCAGAAAGTGAGAACTAATACAAGCAAATTCAGATAATTATAGCAGCAGCTAGGAAACTGAAAACCAAGATTTAGACACAACAAAATCAAACAAATACAATATGGTGTAAATCAGCAGGAATAAGAAAGCCCAGCATCTAAACATCCACCAAAACTTTTCATGAAATATCTAAAAAGTCTTGAAGCATACATCTTAATACAGCAACAAAGCAGGCTAACGTATTTTCGGATTGATTACTCAAAAATTTCCTGGAGCAAATAAAAAGCTTTCTATAAGGCTGTTTTATAGTTACTTTGGAGGTACCCTTCCTGTCAGAAAATAGGGACAAAAAAGCATGAATAGGGGGAAAATAAAACTGAGAACTGTCTTCTGGTTAGCAGACATCATATATCATTTTTTCAAGTGATGACTAAGCAGAATGTGGCCATACCTGCCCACAAATATTTTCATGACGTAAACATCAAGACAACAGATGATTTATTTAAAGTTCAAGTAGGCAGAGCTAGAATTAACAGGGGGGGAGGGGGGAAAGAAAAAGAAATTATGCAGACTAACAAGAGCATTTCTGGCACTGAATCACATAAAACTGTACAAGGCCAAATGAAGGCTAAAAGTCTCTCATCTTTGAGACACTGAGACAAAGTGAGATGAAGATGTGCCAACTGCAAGATGGACGATGTTGTGATTGCCTGGAACTTCACAATGTTGCAGAGATTTGTCATGGCGTAAACCTTATTCACTCTGTCACCATGGCATTAATAATACATTCAGAATAACTTACGATGCCCATGAGAAATTAAATTGATGACTCAAGTTTTCTGGATTGTAGTCTAATAAAGGTAATGATTTGTTCTTTTTCTGTAGAAATGTGAGTTCATCAAGGCTGCAGAAGGAAAGGCTATCAAAAGAACTATATAACGCTGCATAAAAGATACACCGCAAAAGCAATTTCACGGAGGTGACATAATGGTGACAACACTAAGAAAAGTTTTCTCTAAATCTGAGATTTATTATTGTTTCAGTGGTAGGTCTTGTCAGACACAGCAGACACATGAAATGATAGGAAAGTGGAGTTATATAGTAACACTGAACATTTTCTATTCTTACACTTCTTTTTTTTTTGCTGGTCCTGAAGCCCCTGACAAGTTACTGACTTTGTGGGAAAGCAGGGTTTTCTTAGCTTCACTAATTCATTATTCAAAGCCTGTTTTGCTGCTTACACCATTTCTACAGTTTTAGCTCTTTAATTCAACAGCACTGATGCTCTTTTTCCAATATTAGTAATCAGTGGTAGTTAATAACAATCTAAGCAATTACAGGCAGGCATAGGCCTACCATGGAAAAAAATATGAACAACTGAACTAAAAAGGTAATTAAAAAACTCAACAGGAGTGACATGGAAAATAATAGAGGAGATGATGGAAGAGATTAAAGAAGGACAACAAAGCAGGGAGAGGACCAGAAGTGAATAATGAACAGAGGAGAGGCTGGTGCGAGGAAGGATACCCAGTAAGAATAACAGAATTAGACAAAATGATCTAGAGAGCAAAATAAGATGGGAGTGAAAGGGAGATGGTTGAGAAGAAAGGAAGATCAGATCCTTTAACAAGAGCAAAAGATGAATCCATCAGATCAAATTAAACCACAGAAATTTGACCACTGTAAAATAAATTGTAAGTAGAAGCATGAGAGTACAGAGGAAACTGGGTAGTAGTGGAGTGAAAGCAGAGAAATGGAATGGACCGGCTAATAAGTAAAAATTCTGGCAGTTGTTGGCAGCTCTGGCTTTCTTTTCTTTGCACAAGTTACTTGATCTCTCTGAGACAATGTAATTCCACTAAGGAAGGCTTTCTCAAACCGTCTTCAGAGCTCATTGATAATTTTTAGTGTTCAATTAACACCAGTCTAGGAAGGTTCAGTGAAACTGTAGCAATCTCAAGATAATATTTTTTAGGGTATGCTCAATATCATTTTAATAATACTGACTTAGTAGAAGTAGTTTAAGCCCCTTCATATTGATGCAAAAAAGTTGGTCAGAAAATGCAACAAAGCAGTGAGCTCTCATTAATAAAAGAAATGCAAGACATAATATGTCTTATTGCACATTTACATTAGGGACTGTATGTTTCAATGAATTGTCTTATTTCCACACAAAAAGGACGTTATCAGTATTAATAGAGCTGAATGTAGATCAAGCTGAGAAGCAAAGAATGATAAGACTTGATCTAAGTTTTGTTGAGCAGAAAGATTATAAATACTCTATAAAGCAGAAGAGACCTCAAAATTGGATCTAGTAATGAGATTTCATATAAATTGGGTTCAGTACATAGCACCTCTGATAAATCTGAGCGAGGAATTTCAATAACACACACATGCGCTACAAAAACCTGTCTAGTGGTATCACTATAAAGTATCAAATTAAATATCTTATTTGAATATTGACTGTAGACAGAATATTAAGTAAAAAAATCAATATTCAAAATATTCTGGATTATTTTATAGAGTTATGCATCAACATCAAATTCGGTCTTACAAAGTTTTATCTAGATTTGCTGAACATAAGAACTGAAATGATTTTTAAATTGAGGAACAGAATATGGATACCCCAAAAAATAGAATTATATTACATGACTCTCTAATATACTTTGAGTGCTATTTATCCCTAAAGGTAGAATACTTACAGGCTTTCGAGTTGGGGTAACTTGAACAGAATGGTAAAATTCCGGTTGGACTCGGCTGCTTTTCTTGATTTTTCTTTTTCTTACAGAAGTTTCCTGCTCACTTAGATGGTGAGCTTCCACTATAGGCTGTGTTTCCTCAAGGCGAGGTGCTGCACGTCTTCGAGCATGACGAGGACTTGATCTAAAGCCCTGTGACAGAAAAAGGCATCATCGTGTTTGGCATCTCCCTGAATGGAGCCATGTAACATCAGCAAAATCACACAGGATCTTAACAACGACTTGAGGTATTGGCATGCTCACCTTACATTAATGGAATGTCCATATATACTGCATGTAACAATAAAGAGATGTTGCCAAGTGCTGATAATATCACATAGATTATTGACACAGCTAGTAGCAGTAACTCCTGTTGCTTTTCTTTATAAGCTCATACTTTTAGTTATTTTTAACTAAATAGTTCTAATTTAAAATTTATAATTAAAATTTTCCAGGTTAATTCTTGGCCTCACGAGAAATTGTTTTAGGGAATGTGGGCTGCAAAGGTGCGTTGTTTTTTTTTTTTTTTTTTCCTGAGAATGAAAATGAAGACAAATTGGTAGATTATAACCAACATTTCTTGTAAAGAGTTCAGATAGTGCTAGAGTTTGGGGAAAATCCTACCATTTGGAATAAATAATTAAGACAGAGTGCTCTCTTTTGCTCTTGTCTGAGAAATACAGATATATTTGGCCAAATTAATAAACTCAGGAAAAGCCGCCCTTCAGAAATGCTCTTCAGAGGCTTGCGGAGAAAACCTCTGAGCATCATCCAAAATGGTTCATGGCCTTATAGAATTTCATTCCTTTAATGGCAACATATATAATGCTATCCCTGTATTGCTACCTGCAGAGCATTTACAATGAGCATTCTCTCATTTTATCGAGTCCCCTCATGAGCATGCACAAGCCTGACATGCACCATTTGTACTGAATACAATGTTGGTTGATATTAAACTTGGCCAGGTTGTAATATCCATTAACTTAGTCACATCAGCTTTCAGATTAAGTGAGCCAGATCTATGTCCTTAGTGACAGTCTGCAGTTTAAAGGCTACACTTCCTTTCAAAGCTAAGAATAGATGCAATAATTCCTGATTTTCTAACTTCTTTTCTTCTGGGTAAATATCTCTGCTGAAGTCCTTATGTAACAAAGCCAGCATTCAGAAATGGCTGGTCCATAGAAAGATTCAAACTTCTCCAAGGTTGGATTTTAGATAAAACTAAATAAATTTGTTCTGTGACTCCAAATATCCTGAATTCCTGTCAGCAGAAAACTAGTGGGAACAATAAATTTCCATATAAACCTGCTGGGGTTTTTTCCTCATTCCCTTAGCTTTTGAGTTTTGTGTTTTGTTTTGCCTTTTTTGTTGTTGTTTTAATTAAAAAGTCAGCATAGCAAAGTTATGCTAAAATGCTGTTATGAAGCAATCAAAAGTAGATGTATGGCTCTGTGAAAATAGGATTTACTCCTCTAATGTTCATGTGACTGCAAGGGAGGACAGCAACAGTCTGTTCTGGACACTCAGACAGACAGACAGGTGTCTTCATTGTTCTCCATTAAGTAAATAAATCTTTAAATGGCCAAAACACACAAACACATATTTTCATACACATGCTCGTGATTGCTACAGATACATATGGCATGCAACAGATGATGTGAAAAGGCTGAAGTGACATGGTGAAGTAAATTCCAGGTAATAACATTCTACTCCTGAACACTGGAGAAGAGAGACAGGAATAGAGACCAGCTCTACTCAGTCAGTCTGGGATGTTCTTATATGTGGTGCATCAGGGCTATGAAATACATATGATGCAGGGGTATGGACAAAATTTCTTCAGTCTTTTTTTATGATCCCTCTTACTCTACTGAAGCAATAGAATTGTTCAGATTACAGATAGGGACAGACTTTGACACCCTGTATCCCGATGGAATCCATATCAACCAAAGCAAGCAGTACAGTGAAAGCCACGGCACCAGAAGATCTGCACCGATTTAGGACCTCCAAACGTTCAGAGATGTAGATCTGTGAAACACTCTGCCACACTATTGCAGTGGCAAAGCTTATTGCCCCATTTTTTTCCCTACACTGTGAAACAGCTAACAGATACTTACAATGTATCTGTCATTCAACCTGATACTAGGAACTATTCAGGATGGCAGGAAAAAATACAACACAGGGAGCCTACTATTACAGAGCTTACCGCTCATGGAAATTTTCTTTTAGAAAAAATGTTAGTGTGTATCAGGGATTATTCCATACTAAACGAAAATATTCCTCAAGCGACTAAAATACCCAGCAAATATATTCCAAATTTTGAAATCAAAACAGATTTTCTAAATGCATTATTGTTCATTCACACATGATGGCTACTGGCCGAAGCCTTGTGATATACCCTGCACTGCAGCTGTTCCCTCACCACACTCCCATTAGCTGGATAAAACTCTTCTGGAAAGTATGTTTATGTAACAGAAGAATTGATAGAAGCTAAGCAGCTCTGTAAGTGCTTAGAAACGCATGCCAAATAGGGATTTAAGTATGTGAATCTGTCTCACTGAGTGGCTTCACCTCAAAATATGTCAAGGTTTACTGATTGAGTATTATGCTTCAATATGAAAAAGTCACCTGTGACCCAGAAAAATCTGTTTATAGACAATGCTTTGCTTTGACATTTTATATATTTTTCTCTTTTGCTCTTTATTACTAGCAGGAAAATGGGATCTTTATCTCTTTAAGAGCTCATCTGCTTCTGTTTGCTGAAGCTTATTCTTCTCTTGAAGTCATAATCTGCCTGCAGTATCACAAATGGTTGCTGTGGGGAGGATTATAATGTGATAAAGGCAGAGGATCATGATTTCAGGTGGAAAATTAATTCCATATCAACAAAGATAATGTTGCAAGGGCAGAGTCCTCAGACCAAAACCCAGAATGCTTACTCATTCCTGCTATGAGACTTTGCCAGAACAAAGACTCAGATCTGGAAAATTTCAAAATTTGGTAGTGAAAAATAAAGGCAAGAGTTAAAAGTGATTATGGAAGTTAAAAGTAAATTATGGAAGCTGCTACACCTATGATCACTGCAAAACTAGAATCGCCAGTGATTCATTCCAAACACTGAAATGAACTAAAGCTTCTTGTGTCATCTGCGTTATTTATCCTTCAGTTTAGCCCAGAATTGAAAAAATGCTATTAATACAGCAATCAAAATAAAAAATGTGGAAATCACAAATATCTGTTTGGCAAAGACATCACTATTCTAGATGTTAAGTCAATGCTCAAAGAAGAGCAAAAAAATTTACAAAATATTCAGGGAAGCACAATACATCACCTGAGACCAAATTACTGAGGAAACGCTGGAGATTTTAGAATCACATTGATAATACAGTGAGGTTGCTCTAACACCATTAAGCAATTTGTAATTTCCACTATCATGTGAATGCTGTGTCACTGGGCAGTGACAAACTTTTTCTTGTTCTTTGCACTGAGAGGGAGTTGCTCATTAGTAGACCCTACTGCCTGACTCATTTTTGTGCCTGTAAAATTCTGAAATAAGGCAAACCAATAAAAACCTCAACTATGTATTTTAGAAAATCTATCTTCCAAAGACTAAAATAGCTGCACAAATATTTACACCAAAGTATTCTCTCTTAAAGAAACAACACAGATGATCATCAGAACCAGTTTTAGATATATCAGAGGAAGACAAGAGGCAAACTGAACCTGAGATTATCTTCTCTCCAAAAGCATTCATGTGCATCCTTCCGGTTAGAGTCAGTTTGAATCCATGAAGAATGTTCTCCCTAATTGTACTCTACAGTCAGCAGGACTAGAGAGGTGTCTCTAGAGGCTGTTGCAGAGCCAAAGCCTAGTCCACCTGCTCTCGAGGGAACTTTTCTGTCTGAGGAAGCAGGCTAGGGAAATCAGCCTCTTCTATCTGAAATTCATCCTTTTAAGTCTCCTCTGAAATTGTGAGGTGGGATTTTTTTCATGGAATGAAGTGTGATAATATTGAAAGAACCTGTTCTATCTTTACACCCAAATCAGTGATGACTGTTGCCAGCCTGGGCACTGCATGCCAGAGAACACCATGTAAAATTGCTTTCACAGTAAGGTGTTCTGTAAAAAAATAGCTTCTTATCCAGCCAAGTTTTAACTTCATATCTCTAATTCAGTGACCAATTTCTTGTCTAGAGAAACACATGTGGGTTTCCTCTGACCAAAGTTCATCAGACCTCCCCTCCCTGGGTTGCCCTTTAACCCACTGAAGCCAGCAGGGCAGATGAACCATTCACTAACAGCATCTATTTCTCTGCCTGTAATAGGAGCCCAAGCTGACTACTTCACTTATAGAAATCCATACCGTCAGCATCCAAAATTAGATAGGATGGATCAGGCCTATGATGATTAGGATTTGATCTGCCTTCAATACAGTATTCATCATTCCATACATATTTTATCATCAGACTTCCTCCTTCTTTTCCTCCATCTACATGAAATGATTCTGGTCTCTTGTATAATTTTTTTTCCTCTGAGATGTTTACATTTCCTTATTCACAGACATTACTCTTGCTGGATCCCTGTAATTCAGTACACTACTCTTATAAATCCATATTACTGACATATATAATAGTAGAATGTTTCCCATCCCATCTTCTCTCTTATGAGGCTGTACATCTAAAAGTGGTTGTCACTGAACTGTCAAAAGTCATTCAGAAGTCCCTTTCTGGAGACCATAAACCTAAAAATTAGGAAAGAGGCTAAAGGCTTTTCTCTGTAATATACTCAACTTTGCACCTCTGAACATCATTTGTGTGTTTATTTGCCCTGTTTCTTCAGTGTGGTCTGGTATTTGATAATCAAGTATGTCATACTCTGCTAACCTTGTTATGTTTTTGCTTATTCTCATTCCTAATTCATCCATCATAAAACCCATGAATTTGAAACATCCTAAAAACCTTGACTAACTTTTGTTGATTTGTTTTTGTTTGTTTGTTTTTTAATTTACAGATAAGGATATTTTGAAAAATGTGTTGAACCTTTTTCTTTCACTCTCTTAGTTTTTCTGTGTTTATTTCTAATTCTTTGTCTGGTACTTGAATAGCACCATATGAATACATCAGTGTTATCCCATGTGTGCATTATTGCTTTAGTGA